ATTTTGTACATTTTATCTGCGTATCAACAATTAATTGATATTACAAGACAAATAATGCATTCAATATGATATTGTCATATCTTTAAAGATCAAGGATATCATACAAGATATCGGCATAAGAGTCAAAAGGCTGTTAGAAACTAATAAAGATCATATTAAATATTTGCACAAAAGTTTCTATAAAATCAATATGATTACGATCTTTTTTATAGTTTTTTCGTTGACGATTTTTTTTATTATATCATTGATACTTGAAAGCATAATGTTTTGTAATTAACTTTTATAATTTACTTGATAAAGTAAAATTAAAATATAAAAATCAAAATATATCATTCAAATATCTTAATTTTAATTTTAATCTTTTTCTTTATCACGTTATTACAAATAAAACTTAATAAATCGAACAATCTATAAAAATATAAATATTATCTTAAACATAAAACAAATAGTTTCATTCGATACAACTAGAACAAAATTATTATTAGGAAATTTTTGAAAATTTTTGTTCCAAAATGACACAACTTACAATAATTCCGTATTCCCTGTTCATCTTAAAAAAAAAAATAAAATAATAAAATTAAAGTACATACAAAAAAGCGAGGCTTCAAGGAAAGAGATAAAAAATTCATCGATCATTCTTGGTGGAGTTTCATTTCGGTCACGAAATCTATTGGCGCCATCCCACGTTCCTTCTTCTGTTCGCTCCTCGAGGATGCCTGACACGTTCCTGAATCCGAATCTCGTGTTTGTACGGCCTATTCATGGCGTAGACATAATCGTGGCGTGGCTGCATAACGGTAAAAACAGATCGGCGTGCATTCACTTTTCCCCGTTCGAAGCGCGTGCAGTTTCTATCTCATATACATACATACGTATATATGAGCGCAGACGAAGATCGCTGTAGGCAATATCTTTTAAAACTGACGAGTCGTCGATTCATCCAGTCATCGTGTACAAATAACTGATGGAATTATCCTTTCGTGCTGAAAATGGAATCGATCTGCATCTGTCTCGATTCTTACTTTTGATTTCGAGAGCGGAAGAATAAAAAAGTTGTACAATATTGTGGATCATAAATGGTATATAAAGTATAATTATTGAGATTCAACGTGAATTATAAAGATATAAATTGAGAAACTTTCTAAAATGTTTATTAGAACTTATAATTTTTGCTATTTAAATTTTTTCTAATTTTTATTTCTTCATTTTACATTATACAGAACTTATAATTTATGATTTACAATTGTAATATTATAAAAATAGAATTATTGTAGCAATAATTTAAATTTTTGCGCCATCCATGAAATGCGAATTTTTATGTGATTTAATTTAGAAATGAAATAAAATTAAAATAAAATCTGTTTCTTTTTTTAAAAATTCCAATATTTACCTTTATGCAGAATAAAATTTGGTAATAATTAAGCATTATTTGTTGGAATTTCGAGCAAAACTGTATACTATTTATTAAATAAATTTCTGGAATGTATAAATGCCATCTAAGCAAGTGGCATCTATTAGAGTTGAAAAGTAGGCTAACATACCGGCTGAAGATGATTCAATACTCGAGTGAAAGCTCTAACAACCAAAGCTGAATGCAAACTTTGTGACATATCTATTTATATATGTATGTATTACATACATCCTTTCTAGATTCTAATTTTTTAATAAATTTTTATAAAATTTTACAAAATATTCTTAGAATATTTTATAATATTAGAATATTCTTTTCTTTTAACTAGATCCTTGTTTTTTACTTATAATATTATTAATGAAATCTTATAAAATTCAAATTATCAGAATATTTGTAAAAAGAAATTTACCCTTTAATTTACTAATATTATTAGTTATTATTATCAATAATTAATATTATTTATTTTCTAAATTTTATTACAGACAATCATTTAATTCTAAGCCAAAAATTCTCTATCATCTTACATTATTTTATATTATAATCTTACATTTTTTATATAAAATTTTTTTCTCTTAAAATATATATTTTACATTGCATTAACTATGGAATGAATATTAGGCTTAAATTGATTACATTTTAATATACATATTTATATCTTTGAAAAAATTTAATAATGTAATCTTATGGCATCAGATTTGATTCCTATCTTTGTATCTTTCTCTTTATATCTACATTCATAGAATATGTAGGCAATCGTTAATTGTCAGTTATACTTATATAATCATTTAATTTTCAGACGATTCCGGTGTGTCAAGGTTCGAGGGGAAGGTGACGAGCAGGTTTCAGACGAGAATCTTCAAGATACCTCGAACGAATCCGGCAAGAAACCTCGTCGACTAAAACGAACATGCTCGTTATAAACTATCGTCAAAGGCATCCTTGTTGGAGGATGCTGCTCGCCATCGTCATTTTATCCGGCCTCATTAGGTATAGCGAACCAATGTCGACGAAGAGGTTAACAGACTCATCATCTTCATCGTCATCGTCGTCATCGTCCACGTTATCAAATTCCGGCGAATCGAGGTCACAGAATCTTGGCTCGCCAAGCGATCTAGCCTGGCAAGCTTGGCTCCTTCTAGATCATCAAACAGGAGGTCATTCCAGCTTAGATTCAGCAAGTTTCCTCAAACGGATCACACCGAAAAGTGTGTTCATCGCGCCAGAGCTGCCAGCTTTACCGCCCTGTGCTGACGGTTATCGTGCAGATACGATGGGCAGGTGCGTGAAAATCGTGAACATCGATCACGAGGCTCACCTTGGTTTCCTTCTTCAACGGCTGAACAATCGATACGGGAACCGAGGTGGCAGCTCTGAGGCATTTAACAATAATAAAAAAAAGTCCAGCGGCCCGTTGCAGTTGAATATCCCTCTGTTTTCCATGACCAGAGAAACGATAAACAGACCAATCGTGGTTCCTTCCCAAAAGGACGTCATCGTGGCTCAAAAGAATGTAGAAGAGAAAAAAGTAGAAGAAGAGGTAATATTTTATCGATAAATTCTCTTTATCATGTACATTTATTAACTGTAAGTTAGAGAATATATCATATAAATAGGATAAATAGGATTTGCACAAATTCTTCTTTTTCATGTTCATTCTTTTAAGAATTTTTCTTTCATTCAGTGTCAATTATATTATAATTATTGTTATTATTATTATATATTATATTTTAAAGGTAATAATTTAAAGTATTTGAAATATAATTTAATTAAATTGTTACAGGTAGTAAAGAAAATAGAAGAAGACATAATGGAAAACATGGAGGAAGAGATAAAGGAAGAGGAACAACCGTTGGAATCTCTGGTTATGTATTATCAGACGAAGAACAACAACGAAGAACAGGAAAACGAGGACAATGTTTCTCGTGAAAATACTACCATTTCTGACGAACCTATTAATGAACCTCCCGACGAACTATTTGAAGAGGAAGATCAGAATACTACTATTCGTGATCAGAGTACAACTATCCACGATCAAAGTACTACAATCCACGATCAAAGTACTACAATCCACGATCAAAGTACTACA